AGGACATTATTTGAAGGGATTAAAGATTAAGATTGTTAAAAGTAAAAGGAAGGAATATAAAATGGGTTTATTTGATCAAGGTTAAAATAGATTATGTTGTTATTTCTGGTAACCTTTAATGGACTTTTGCTGACCAGAACTGAATGATAAGGTTTTAAGGAGATAATAGATAAGGAGATATGGGATGAAGAGATCATTTGTTGTACTTTAAGAGAAGGTGATAAGTTGTTAAAACTGTACAAAATTGTGACAAAGGGGGAAGTCACTTCTTTATATATTTCTTTTCTTCTTCTTTGCTATATTCTTATTTTTCTTTTCTATTTTTCTTTTTTTCTGAACTATTTTTTAATCTTTTAATTTTTTTGTATTAGTCTTTATCTGTTTAATGTAATGTTTAATGGAATTGTTATTAAAAAAAAATAGAGTGCACTATAGTTGACCACTGTAGTTGACCAAGGGTATACCCTGAACCAAGCTAACACCATGTTTAACCACTGCATGAACGTTAATATATAAATAACAAGAAGCACGACACAGGCTGTATCTGGGAATGCTCATGGGGCTAATGCCAGGTGCAGCGAAACTAAGGAGTTCACAGGAAAGGCATTTCACTGATAAGCTAGTTTCTCACACAACTTCTTTTGCACCCAGGATTAATGAATGCTTAGCATAATGGTTATAAAAGTTTTATAAACCAGTCCCTTGGCATGGATGTGGCATGGCAGAACAGAGCATACATACCTGTTATCATCACAGGGAGCACTGTGTGTTTACTCCTGTAAGTATTTACCTTTAATAAAGCTCATTCTAATCACACTGGCTTTCAGCTCCTCTTTCTTGGGAAACAGCATTTTTGCTTTATCCAAGAGCACCCGGAGAAAACAACTGGCGTCACAAACAGGATTTCCAAGAAATGGGTATGGTAAAAAGGAGTTGGATGGGGCTTGGGGGTGGGGGGAATCCCAGGCTGGCCATCCACCTTACATTACTGTAGTATCCAGTTGCAGACTGGCTTGACCAGCTAGGGATGCCAAGGGACTAGGGGATGCCTCCAATTCCCTGGTGGAGATTAGGTAGTGCCTGGAAATGTTAAAAATTCATCAGTAAAAGCTGACGGGAGAATGCTAGCCACTCAGACTGGATGGCTTTTCCTGGAAGCCCTCAGAAGGGTAGATGATGAAAACTGGAATTTGAGAGGAGAAAATAAGAAATTACAGGAAGAGTTGGAGCAGGAGATTTAATTATTGTCATCCCAGATGGTAAGAAATCTAACATCTCAAATTAATTAGGGGGAGATGGGTGGGGATAAATTTAATAAATAATACATAAATAAAAATAAATAAAAATAAATAAATTGTCAGGAGGAAAAATGACTGCCTTGGCATGCAGTTATGCCAAGGTAAAAGGCAAAAAGATGAAAAAGCTAAAAGTGAGATCTAATTCAAAAGTCAGATTGGAATCCAGAAGAATGGAATCTGGAAATGAGCTTGGGTGATTCTGAGACTGAGGCTGACAAAGTATCAGATGAGGAGGAAGCCTGGGAATCAGATTGCCAGAGAGATAATTAAGGGTAAAACTAATGCCAGGCAGGTTATGGACGATGTGAATGGAGGGCAGGAATTTAGATCCCCTGAAAGGACTTTAGTAACAGAGGAATTCACAGTGGCTCAACTGGAGGAGTTTTACAAACTTTTGACAGTGGAGTCCTTGTGTTCTCTTAGCTTGGTTGTTTGCTTGCAGATGTTTCATTACCTGACTAGGTAACTTCATCAGCACTGATGATGTTACCTAGCTGGGTAATGAAATGTCTGCAAGCAAACATCCAAACTCAGAGAGCACCAAGGACTCCACAGTTCAACTCTGAGCTACATATATTCTCTTCCATTAAAAGTTTCAACAGAAACCTACAGAACCACTTGGATGGTCCAAACATGGGACAATGGGGGTGATGGTATACTTTTGAGTCCCCCCCAAAGCAGAGAAAATGAGCAGTGTTACTACTGACCTGCATTAAGACAGCACCTTCATGGTGGATGGCAGGCACAAGGAACCCATACCTTGGGTCATAGCAGGGGTGAGGGGAGTCTGGCCAGTTTCAAATGATTTGCCAATAGACCACAAGCAGTGGAAAGACATTACAGAAGCTTTACCTATATTAAGAGAGCTGGAATGAAGCAACACATTTATTCTCAGGGCACCAAAGCG